GACTAAGTCCATTGCATCCCTCTCCTCTTCCCCTTCTAAGTTATTATTGTCACAATTTATTCCATCTTGTGTTCTGAGTTTGTGTTTAAAGTGATGAGGTTAAATTTATCTTTGTTTTCCTTCCCTTAGTCTTTAATGTTATAATTGTTTGCTAACCTATTCTGATAGAGAGTTGAAATTTTTCTGATTTCGTCTACCTATTTTTCTCCTTGCTCAAAGGTTTGTATCCCTTTATGTGTTTTTTTCAGTTATGAGGGACTTCTTGAGCATTTTTTGTAGTGGGGGTCTTGTGGCAATGAACTCCCTTAGTTTTTGCTGATCTGGGATTGTTATTGTTTCTCCATTATATCTGAGGGATATTTTCGTTGGATAGAGTATTTTTGTCTAAAAGTTTTTGTCTTTCAGAATTTTAATATATCATTCTACTCTCTCCTACCCTGTAGAGTTTCTGCCGAGAAATTGGCTGAGAGCCTGATTGCGATTCCTTTGTACATTATTATTTTTTTTTGTCTTGCTGCCCTTAATATGTCCTCTGCGTCATTGACGTTTCCCAGCCTTGCTACTATACTATATGCCTTGGAGAGGGTTGTTTTATGTTGATCTATTTGGGAGATCAGTTGACTTCATTCACTTGTATTTCTAGCTCCTTCCCCAGGTTTGAGAAGTTCTCTGCTACTATTTCTTTGAACAGGCTCTCTGCTTCTTTTTCCCTCTCTTCCCCCTCTGGAATACCTATAATCCTTATGTTGCATTTCCTAATTGAGTCAGATATTTCTCAGAGAATGTCTTCATTTCTTTTTAGTCTTACTTCTCTCTCCTCCTCCATCTGGAGTATTTCTGCATTCCTATCCTCAGTAATGCTGATTCTTTCCTCCATATTGTGAACTCTGTTCTTTAAAGACTTCAGATTTTTCTTTATCTCCTCCACTATGTTTTTCATCTCCAACATTTCTGATTAGTTTTTCTTTATAGCTTCAGTCTCTTTTGTGAAGAAGTTCTTGATTTCATCGAATTGTCTATCTGTTTTCTTGTAATTCAGTGAGCTTTTTTATGGTAGCTGTTTTGAATTCTCTGTCATTTAGGTTATAAATTTCTGTGTACTTCAGCACTGATTTCTGGGTGCTTGTCATTTGCCTTCTGGTCTAGAGATTTAATATATTTTTGCATACTGCTTGAGGGCGTGTGCTTATTTTTCCTCATGCTGAATATATCTGCTCACAGCTTCCACTTGCTGTCACTAGGTGGAATAGAGAGCTGTGTATTCTGAGCCTGCTGTGATGTGTGGCTGCTGTAGCCAACCAGTTGTGCTGGTGCGCTGGGTGGCAGAGGAGGTGCTCTTTCTTTCCACTGCCTGATCCCAAGGGCTTCTTGTGCTTCCCACACTATCTGCTCTCTTGGACTGCTGGCATGATAAAGGTACCGCCACAACAGTTCAGTTCCCTCCATATGTGACTTTCCCACAGGCTATGAGAGACCTTGAAGAGCGATGGTTTTCCCATGGAAGGCCGCCCCCCACCCCCCCAGCCATGCCACACAGACCTGGTCCCAGTGTTGCTATCATTCAGGAAGGAGAAGAATTCTCCTTACCTCCTTCTACTTCTGGGGGTTTCAGCGCCTCCACCTTCAGACATATGGCTGTGTGGGTCTCTCAGATGTCTTTTGTGTTGCGTGAGTGTCTCTATTGGTACGTGAATGTCCTTTTTGTTGTATCTTAGGCGGGAGAGTCTACAAGGAAAGCTCACTCCACCATGATGCTGACATCACTCTGAACCATGATTCCTGTTTTTTGTTTTAAATTTGTTAAAGTGTGCTTTGTGTCCCAGAATGTGGTTTGTCTTGGTGAATGTTCCATCAACTTGAGAAAAATGTAGATTCTACTCTTATTGTATTCTATAGGTTTTGGTGAAATCCAGTTGTATATTCCATAGATTACAAGGAAATCCAGGATGTATATTCTCTTGTTGAAGTATTCCATAGATGACAATGAAATCCTGTTGTGTCACTGTGCTGTTCAGTTCACCTCTGTCCTTGCTCATTTCCTGCCTACTGGAATTTATATTTTGTGATAAGGCCATGTTAAATCCTACAGCTATGTTAAAGAGTTCATCTGTTTCTCCTTGCATTCTATTAGTTCATGTCTCATGTATTTTGCTCCTTTGTTGTTATGCAGCTACAAACTAAGTATTGCTGTTATTTCTTGGAGAATATTCCCTTACATCAGTATCTAATGCCGCCCTCTGTCTCTGAATTTTCCTTTGTTTGAATCTGCATTTTTTATAATTTATATACCAGTGGCATCTTTCTTTTGATGCGAGTTGGCGTGGTCTATTTTTCTCCATCCCTTTACCCTTTATCTATCTCTGTTTTATATTTAAAGTGGGTTTCTTGTAGATAACATAGAATTTTGTGTTTTGAAATTTGATATTACTGTGTCTTTCACTTGCATCAAGACCATTGATGATTAAAGAGCTTATTAATACAGTTGGATTAATATTTACCAAAACTTTTTCTGCTTTCCATTTTTACCCTCATTGTTTTCTTTTTGTCTTCCACCTTTTTTCTGCCTTGTCTGGCTGAAATTGAGCATTTACTCTGATTCTGTTTTTTCTTCTGTCATAGCATATCAGTTACAAATTAAAAAAAAATAAATTTTTTAGTGGTTGCCCTTGGGTTTTCTGCACGCTTACAACAAACCCACCTCCGCTACCAAATAGTAATATACCACTTCACTGTTGTGCAAGTACCTCTTAACACACTATTACCAATTGCTCTCTCCCTGTCCCTTGTCACAGTGCTATCATTTATTTCACTTGTCCATAAGATTCTCATTACCAAATATATTGTTGCTAATATTATTTTAAACAAAGTGTCATTTGTTATGTTAATTATAAACATTTAAAAGTTACTTTTCTAGTCCTCTACCTTCTTCATTTACATACTTTCTGATAATTTTTGAACGTTTCATTCAAAGTAGGTGTACTCATGACAAATTTCCTCAATTTTTGTCTTGGAAAGTCCTTATTTCTCCTTTATTTTTGAAGAAGTAGGCTTGACAGAATTCTAGGAGAGTGCATTTTTGGTTTCATAACTTTAAATATTTCACTCTACTCTGTTCTTGCTTGCGTGGTTTTGAAAAGAAAGCCAATTTAATTCACGTCTTTGGTTCTTTGTTCCTAAGATGTGTTTCTTGTCTGGCATTTCTTGATATATTCTCTGTCTTTGACTTTTCTCTAATTGAAATATGATATCCTTGGGTGTGCACTTTTGTAGTTTGTCATAGTTAGTGTTCTCTGAACTTCCTGGATGTACAGTTTACCAGCTATCATTAATTTTAGGATATTTTGGTGACCATTACTTCCCTTTTCTATTTCTCTTTCTTTTCCTTCTGGTATTCCTATTATGTATTTTAAACTTTCTGTTACAGAGTATTGTCTTAGACTTCATGGATATTGTGTTCAGTCTTTCTTGTTCTTTTTGTCTTTGCATTAGCCTCTGGTGAAATAGATTATTTGCTTAGTACAGGTCTTGTTAAGAACAAAATATCTGGTGCATATTTCAAAATGCCATCTGCTTTTTCTCTTTCCCAATTTTGTAATATTTTATAATTTTATTTATTTATTTTATTCACCCAAAGCCCCAGTGGGTAGTTGTATGTCATAGCTGCACATGCTTCTAGTTGCTGTATGTGGGACACAGCCTCAGCACGGCCGGAGAAGCGGTGCGTCGGTGTGCACCCGGGATCCGAACTCGGGCTGCCAGCAGCGGACCACGTGCAATTAACTGCTAAGCCACGAGGCTGGCCCTCTCTTTCCCAATTTTAGAGACTACAGTTTGCCCTATGACCTCAAGGCTATCATGGATCTAATAACAATTGTTTAAGTTCATTCATTGTCTTCTTTTGAGATCAAGAATGACAGTTTCTAAGTTTCTTAAGTGTGGGATCAGAAGTTGGAAGGGCATCTAGAGTGCATGGTTGGGAAACACCTCCTCTTAAACTTGGAGAATGGAAATTTTATGTTCTGTAGCAAGAAAGCACTGTTAAATCCTTCATTTATTTTGTAATCATGGGCAAATTTACCATCAAACCTTTGTGGAATTCAGTGCACTCCCTTGCAATCTGTAGCTCTTAACCTGCGCCTCAAGGGCAGCAAGGCTCAAGGTACACTGTTAGTGTTGGAAACAGCTCTGGAAAAAGCTGTTCCTAGTACATTATTATCTCACTATGCATTCTAAAAATTTCTGGGAAGTATTCTTGAGGCACAGGAGTATAGGTATTTCATGGTCTAATTTGTCATGCCTTTTTCCCTGTGTCTGAACTCTTAGTTCTAGATAACTTTCTGGCCCCATCACGTCATACAGAGAGAGAAAAGAGGAACTGAATCTATGATAAATATTACACAAGTTAAAAGCAGTGCTTCACCACAAGAATATTTATATTCAGTCAGCTGCCTCTGATTACTCATAGTGGCCTGGATTACTTTAGGACAATGTGATCAGCTGGGTTTGTTAAAAGTTTGCTTTCTACAGGCCTCTTGAACTCTGTTTGGTGATAGGACTAGACAAAAAAAGCTTCCAGTTCTTTATTGTGTTTTTATTTATTGAAACCTCAGGCGGATTTCACTCTGCCTCATGGACAGCTGTAACTGGAGGGTAATAAGGAATAAGATGAAAGCATTTTTCTCAGAGGAAATCATGTTTCATAAAATGATAATTGTTTCATTTGTATAGTATTTTTATCATTTTGCAAAATGCCCTGGACCCTGCCATTATAGAGAAATACAATGTAATGTGATCACAGTAAAATTGTGTAAACAATTTCCATGTGTTACTAATGCAGTGAAATTGATGAGGAAGTCGGTACAGAAAAGCAGTGAGGTTTTGATGATGATAGTGTAAAACAAATATTTGGAAATGACAGAAGCACACATAACATTTCAGCAAATGGAGAACAGATCCCCAGTGCTGTCACTCTCATGCATCCAATTCTCCACATATTTGTGATGTTTTAGGACTCAGTGACCATTGAGGATGTGGGTGTGAACTTCACCCCAGAGGAGTGGGCTTTACTAGATCCTTCACAGAAGAAACTCTACAGAGATGTGATGTGGGAAACCTTCAGGAACCTGGCCTCAATAGGTAAGAATGAGGACATTCCTTCCCTTCATCAAGTAGAGAACAGGTGTTTTTTGCTCATTAACATGGTTGCCAGATGTAGAATGTAGAAATGGGTGATATTGGTAAATAAACTAGAAATGATCATAGCTCATTGTCTTAGTTAGAATCCATAGTTTTTTCTGTAATTTCTAATACTTGGAAATCAACTTTCTGGGTCTGCATTTCAGGAACGACATGGGGAGATGATGATATTGAAGTTAAGTACACAAACCAGGGGAGAAAATTAAGGTGAGTCGCACTCTGAGACAACGCATTGTCTCACGTTAGAATACCGACATGTTAAGAAATTTTAAAAGGAAGCAAACAAAACAAATAACCTTTCCTTCAAATTTAGCTATTCCAGAAAATTTTCACCAGATGGACTTTTTGAAATGTAATGTAGATATTCAGTTTTTACAAAATGATTCACTTGGAAAGTAAGAATAAACCCTATATATTAATATCACTGTTTGGATAACAGCAAGCATGAAGTCCTCCTTCAGAGCATTCAGTATATTTAATTTCCAAAAATGCAGACAAGACCGAAAAGCAAAACTTTTCCTGTAAATCATAATAAATGTAATAAATGTAAAATCATTAATAAAGAAATCATTAATAATGTATTTCTCATTTTTTGCAGAAATCATATGGTACAGAGACTCTATAAAAGTGAAGAGGGTAGTCTGTGTCAAGAAAACATCAACCTAAATCCAAATCTCAGTCTTAACAAGAAAACTAAAGGTGCTAAACCATGTGAATGCAGTGCATGTGGAATGGTCTTCATTCATCATTCATCCCTTAAAAGGCGCATTAGATGTCACACTGAACACAAACTATCTGACGATCAAAAATATGGAGAGGAGCCATATAAATGTACAGTCTGTGGAAAAGTCTTCCCTTTTCATAGGTCTCTTCAAATACATGAAAGAACTCATACTGGAGAGAAAATCTATGAATGTAAAACATGCAGTAAAGCATTCACTTCATCCAGGTCTCTTCGAATACATGGAAGAACTCACACTGGAGAGAAAGCTTATGAATGTAAAAAATGCAGAAAAAAGTTCACTTCTTCCAGTTCTCTTCGAGGCCATGAAAGAATTCATACTGGCGAGAAACCCTTTAAGTGTAAAATATGTGGTAAAGCCTTTAGGGTTTCAAGAAGTCTTCAACTACATGAAAGAAGTCACACTGGAGAGAAACCCTATGAATGTAAAAAATGCAGTAAAGCATTCGTTTATCCTAGTTCTCTTCTAAAGCATGAAAGAAATCACACTGGAG